CCCCCCCAACCAACAACCACAACCACCAACACAACACAACCAACACCACCACCACCAACACCACCACTCCACCATACCACCACACCACCACAATCACCACATCGCCACACCACCACCACCATCACTACCACCACAATCAACACACTGCCACACCACCTACCTACCTTCACCAACATCACCACACATACAACCAACACAACACCGCCACCACCACCGCCACCACCACCAGCACAACACCACCAACACACATAGAACCAACAAACCACCACCACCACACCACCACACCACCACACCACCACCACCACCGCCACCACACCATCGCTAACATCAGCATCACAAGCATTACATCATCACAACGACCATCATCACAACCATCGCCGCAAAGAGCAAAGAGCCACATGAACCTGACTAAATTTCACTTTTCACATAAAAAGGATAAGCAATGTGATCATTCCTCTCCCTTTTCTCAATTATTCCATAGACTGAAGCCCTAGCCACAAAACGACATGCCAACAACTGCATTGAACCAAAAACCTCAATGAGCAAAGAGGTAAAACCGCAAAACTCGTAACTAAATCCACAATTTCTCTCTCAAATGCAATATTATATTTTCACATCAAATTGTCTCTCAAATACTTTCATCAATTTCTCCATAGAGTCATCAAACCAAGCCACAAAAGGCAATCACAGAGCTAAGCCATAAATCGGAAAAAATCAAGCCACAAACGACAATCATAGAGATAAGCAATTGAAAGAGTCGTAAAAACAAGCTACCGCGGAGAAAGCCAAAAACGACAGCCCTAAATTCTCAGCATCAACCACAAACCTCACAGGAGGAGGTAAGTTAAGGCGAAAGACGGGTAAAAAGATACCAGAGAACGGTAGAGAAGAGGGACTCAAAATTGGAGAGAAGAGAAAGAGATGAGAGTGCCACTGGAGACCGTCGAGCGGAGTTAGGAAGGAGAGGAGAAGGGATCTAGGGCACGAATATGTGAAGGACAACAACGAAGAAAATTGAGGGCACACAAACAAAATCGAGGCCGCGGGGTCGAACCCGCGGCCCGTTTTTACATCAAATTATTCCAAAAAGCCGTCGCACCACCCTTTCCAAACAGATGTTTCTGCGTTATGGGGTTGTGCTACAGCTAAAAAGATGCCCATAATACATGAATTTAGAATAAAAAGGACCTTGAAATTGTTCAGTGGATTACAAAAATTGAGTCGGGAAATTTTATGCTCGTTTCCATATTCATTTTCATAACCAGACAGTAGAGGAAATATTATAAAATATTTTCATTTTGTAATGACAGCCAAAAATTATGGAACTATAGCTCCAGTGAATTGACTTATCATATTTAGTGTAGGTTATGGGATCTTTTTAGTGCTTGAATAAGCAACTTGTTGAATTAAATTTTAAGAAATTCGCTCTTTTCCTGACTGGTAAATAATCAACCTCATAAAAGAAACTTGATTCGGTTTTCATCCACTTGTTTGGAAAATTCTCTAAGCTTTTCATTTACCCTTAAATTTCTCTTTAAATAATTTGGTCCATCTCATATATTAGCGGTTGCGGCCTTTGTC